TTATTGACCTCCCACCTCCAATTGTTATCTACTTTTGTTCAGTTCCTTCTGTTCTTACCACAGCTATTGGTCTACTCCTACATTACACTTTAGTGTAACTATCTCTTAGTTTTTTGATCCACTGCTTACCATAGCTATCTTTATTGAATTAAGTCCTGACTGGCATAGCTATAGTATTTCTTTAGTCTTTTAAACATTTACTGAGTGCTTCAATTCAGATTCTGCAAACATTTACGAAGCTCCTTGAGGCTCACTTGACTCTCACAGTTATTCCAAAGAAGCTATTATTACCTCCATTTTATAGAGAAGCAAATATACTCAGAAGTTAAATAACTTGTCTGAGGTCACCGAAATCAAATCTAACTCTATCAACCAAGTCCTGTGCTCTTTCCGCTCATCTTTATTTCTCCCTATCAAACTACAAGACACTCTGCTAGTTAGAATTTAAGGCTTTACTCTACCTTCTGGAACCTGTTTTTCAAATCCTGCCTAAAAATCTATCATTTAGACTCAATGACACCACCTGTGTCAAACCTTGCTCTGCTAAGTTCTTCCATTCCCAGCACCTTTTTTTAATATACCACTACTGCTATATAATAGCCATGGTGCCCTCAACAATTCAAGAAAAATTCTGCCTACAGAGTATCATTTGGCGGGGAAAAGAAAGAAGTCTTGAGAGGACACTGTGGTCCTGTTTCAGCCTATTGTCTTCCTCTTTACAGACTACATATCCTGTAGCAACATCAATGTACTCTAATTAACTGCTTAATAGATTTATGCAATGGACTATATAAACGACGAAGAAGAAGACAGTGACCTGCCTGAGGCAACAATGACAACTGGACATCCCTAGAGCCTCAAAGTAAATGAATATCTGCCATACTGATTATTTTTGTGGGGGGGGAGGGGAAAGGGGAACCTTAACACTTAAATCTGACCACAAAAAGAAGTTAATGAAGTTGATGCTAAAAGCTATCTGAGCACATGTGAAAATTAAACCAGGATACACTTTTCCTGCCATGTTTATTCAAAACTGAAAAATTTACAACTCAAGTCAATCACTTTTGATTTTCCAATAGCAAAATTAACAAAGTAGCTCCTTATCTTGTAAGCAAATCATCCTCCACTATAGATACTAAGTTTGTGAAAGTAACAAAATATGACTGTTTATTTCTTAGTTTCCCAGGGAGGCACTATAAGTAATGCTTAAGAGCAAAAACTTGCTGTGATCTTGAACCTTTCATTTTGTTTCATCTGAAAAATAGGTACAGATGTACCTACCTCACAGGACTGTTGAAAGAAATGAGATCATAAAGTTCTTAGCACGTTTTTTACATAGTAAGCATTTTTACAATATTACCTATTATATCCTTAACTACTGTTTCCTCACTTACAATATTAAAATTCCTACCATATAGGATTGCTATGAGAATTAAGCACACTGCTTGGTGAATAATAGGTTCTTATGAAAGCCCATCATTCCTGCCCCTTTACGGAACTATATAAAGCCATGGTTGTCGAGAAAACACCAGCTTTTCCAGAATTGTGTATTTCCTTTTGGGGGAAGGGGTATGGACAAGAGAATGGAAAGAAAAAGGTAGTTTTATTGTTATGTAATATAGGCAGTCATGAAATCACATAATTAAATCATGACTCCAGTAATCTGAGGTCATGATTTATAAGCATCAAGGTACAAGGTTAAACTTAGTTAAAAGACATTCAGGGACTAGTACATTGTCTAAAGTAAAACAGAACAACTTAGTGGTAACTAAATATACACACAAGAAATTTAAACATTAATTAGTGAGACATTTTAGAAGTGACTTTGAAAATAGTCTCATTATTTCACTGTCTTATGAAACCAAAACAACATTTTGAACTGGAGTTTAAAACATGAATAAACAGGAAATCTCTGTTGTGATGCTTTATTCTGCTTAAAATTTTGCATTCTTCTGAAATACATGTGTACTAAATATAAGGAAATAAGTATTCCTTACCTGTTGTGTTCCATCTGCACTTACAATAGGGGCAGACAGAAGAGAAATATCACTACTTAGAATTTGAGATGTATCCAGTAGTGGTGGATGTTCTGCCATTATCAGTAAGAACTTAATATACCGGATAACTCTCCAACTCTGAAAAACAAAAATATATTGCCACTTATGTGTATATTCTTAAAAATATATAAAAATATAATACATTCAAGATTCATCTCACTCTTTAACCTAAAGATATACTCTTGTCAAAGGAAATTTTATAATATTCTGCTGAATATTTTTTCTGTTAACAGATCATTTAAAGAAATATATTTTACAACTAACCGTCAATGTAGACAATAAGACATAATAAAGCCAATATATCAGTAGCTTCTATTTAAATTCCATGTCTCTCTAACTCTTTTATCTCTATACAATATTTTATTTAATTTAACCACCACTACGTTAGCTAAACATTGGGAAAGGTATTTAAATGCAATGAATAAGGCAACTCTACCACTGATTTTTTTCCTATAAGCAGAGGTGATTACGAAGACCCAACTCTTCCTCATCATACTATCAGTCTATAGGAACTACGTAAGAATTATGATTTTTCACTAATTCTTCAGACATAACAAAATGGTAGAAAAGTTTGCTCAGGATTAAAATATGAACCTTCAAGTTTTAAGTTTTATGACACTGGCCTGATATTCTGATTTATTATTCTTTTCTAAGTGACACCTACTTTATGGACCAAATCATTTCAATGTTAAAAGCACGTACTTCCAGAAATCTTAAATTGTAAACAGAGTATCATTTATATAAAAGTAAAGGACTTGACGTAAGCAACAATAATCTATGATATACATCAACCAACAAAATATCATCAAATTATATATCAAGATGAGCACAACTGGGCTCAATCACAAATTTTACACAATCTATATTGAAAGGCAAAATAACAAATATTTTTAGATGCTTGCGGCATTTTACAATTCAGTAGTGTTAAAATGTTTGACTTTTCTAAGACATTAAATTCCTGTTATTTATTTTAGAATCTTAAATCTTTGCGGAAACTCTCATAGAAGTTGATTTAACTGCAAAACAATTTCCTATTTGGATATATAAAAAGTGCTATAAAATTTCAAAAACATTCCATGCAGGTATCTACTTCAAGATGTTTGTTATACACAAGACGACAGTATGAAACACTGTTATTTAACTAGCTCATAAAAATGTAAGCATTTAAACATAACATATATAAATATTTATATTATAAATACTATATACGTATATAGTGTTATAAATATATAAAGGGGAAAATGTAACTTCTGGATTAATCTGTACTGCTATATTTCTTAAAGTTCAATAAAATCACAGAGTACTTTAAATTATGTCAAGTAATTACACTCTGTGGAATATACACAGAATTATAAAATGAGAAGGAGTCAATGTACTGTTTTTCTTCTTACATGTCACATAATTTAGTTCAAAAAGAAACATTTTAGGGACGCTAACTCACGATTAACCAGGGTAAGTTTATAAGTAATTCATTTTTTTTTGTAAAGTAATTTAAAAAAAACAACACAGTAATTTTTTATTGTCATTTTATTCTATTTGTAATATTTAATACATATTTAACTGAAATGCAAACCACCATTATTACCTAAATTTTAGAACATAATGCTGAAGATACAAGCGTAGTCTGGTTTCAAGGGGTGGACTGGAAGCTTTACAAATTTTTTCTGAACCTCCAGTTAATTCCAAGAACAGTGCTATTATATATCAGACCTGAAGTCAGATAATATGTTTTAATATTATTTAATATTATCATTCCACTTAAGTGTTATTCTTTGCAAAGCTATAACACATCAAGTTTCATTTATGAATTAATTTCTTGTAAGGCTGTATTCACCACAACATATGCAAAGTAGCTGTTTTATTTCAGATTGCAAATCGTAAACTTCGGTTGGGCAACTGAAATGTTGCATTTAGAAACCTAGAAATTCCCTTCATTCCTGCATAGGAAACAGTCAGCTTCTTCTATCAACTTCTTCTAATTTTGCTACTACTCACTAACCTTGTGACCACAAATACCTACTTGTTTGAAGTTATGCATCTATTTTTGTTTTTGTGGTAATGTAATGTTTGATATATGCAAAAAAAGGAGAGAAGTGATTTCTTGCATTTGCTAATTTCAGTGAAATAATATTGCCCCATGCCCCATTTCAAGCTATCATGATTTAAAAATTGACCTGAAAATTCCTGAATGTTAACAATCAACTTTTGTACACAAGATGGCTCCAGCATCTCACTGTTTATGTCTATATATCAATATTTAACTATCTTTGTAGTAATAATAAAATATTAACATTTTGAGAATTTGGGTAAAGAAAAGTTGAATATCTTTGTATTATTCTTGCAACCTTTCTGTAAATCTGAAATTTTAATTAATGTTAAGTAAAACAATATTTTAAAAATATTAATGCCAGGTAGATTGATCTAAAAATAAAGGTAAAACAAGAAAAGCTTCTAAAAGATAGCATAAAAAAACAACTTCATAATCATGGAACAAAGAAAGATTTTTAAAGAGTATAAATTATATTTCTTAAGTCATAAAGAAAAAGAATGATATATTGAACTTCATTAAAACTAAAAACTACTATTTATGAATAAATATCTTTAAGAATTCCAGTCAGTGGCAGAGTAGGTAAATGCTGTGTTCACTTCCTGTAAGACATCAAATTACAACTAAACTACAGAACCGCCTGAAATCTAGCTGAACAGAAGTCCTATAACTAAGATATGTAGAAGCCATGTCGAGATTGGTAGGAAGGGTGGAGAGATGCTGAATGGGCGGCTTCACGCCCATATGTAGCAGTTAAAAACTGGGAGGGATATCTTGGCTGCAGAGGTTCCCCCAAAGGAGACAGGAGTCTCAGCCTCACACCAGGTTCCCAAGCCCAGGGTTCTAGTGCTGGAAAGAGAAGTCTCCATAACTTCTGGCTGTTAAAACCAGGGGAGGTGCTCGCTTCAGCAGCACATACGCTAAAATTGGAATGATACAGAGAAGATTAGCATGGCCCTTGTGCAAGAATGATATGCAAATTTGTGAAGCATTCCATATTTTTTAAAAAATAAAAAACAAACAAACAAATAATAAAACCAGCGGGGGTTTGGTCTGAGTGAGACAGAAGGTGGCTGAAGTTCCAGGGGTTCCTCTTCAAAGACCCACTCATGGAATTACGTGCTGGCCGACTCACTCACTCTGAGCTCCAGCACTGAGGCAGCAGCTAGAAAAACACTGGGGACATACAGGGAGGAAATGAATGGCTGGATTCAGGGCAAGGTGTGGAAGGGCAGCTTTCTCCCAGACAGAAGTGCTAGCATAAACCATTGTCCCTTTGCTGAACTCTCTCTCCACCTAGTGAACAGATAGAGGCCAAGCAGCATTCTAAGTCTCCATCGACCCGGCTAACACCATATGCCCCACCCTGGTGATTCCCTGAGAGCCCACACCAACAACTTATAGGCCCACCCAAGCCACTTCCAGTGACTTTTCCATACAAATGGCCCATTTGGGATCATGTTGCAGACTTGTCTAAAATCTCTCAAAGGTTCACAAATCACACCAGAGCACTGCCTAAGCACCTCCACAAATGACACACCAAAGGGCAGACTCAGTAGGCCCCACAGACATGCTAAAGCGAATTCTGCTCAGCCCCTGCACATCAGCTATTCAACCAGTCACCAGCCAGTCCTCACAACCAATCAACCCAAGGGTCAATCCCTCACACTGATGTACAAATAGCAATAAAGGCTCAACTAAAACAGGAGTGCACATTCAAACAACACAAGGAACACACCTGGAGCACCTAGCTCAGGTGACCAGGAAGACTGTGCCACTGTGCTCCACAGCACACCTACTACATAAGGCCACTCTACTAAGACCGGGAAACATAGAAGCTCTACCAAATACATAGGAACAAACATAGGGAGGCAGCCAAAATGGGAAGACAAAGAAATATGTCCCAAATGAAAGAACAGAACAAAGCTCCAGAACAAGAACTAAACAAAATGGAGAGACGCAATCTACCAGATGCAGAGTTCAAAACACTGATTGTAAGGATGCTCATTGATCTCAGTGAGAACTCTGATGAAGAGATAAGAAACACATAAATGGAGACGGAAAACATAAACAAGTGAAATAATACGATAACTGAAATGAAGAATACACTAAAGGGAATTAACAGGAAATAAGATGAAGCAGAGGATCAAATAAGCGATTTGGAAGATAAGGTAGCAGAAAACACCCAATTTGAACAGCGACAAGAAAAAAAAAGTCCAAAATAATGGGACAGTTTAAGAGGCCACTGGGACAACATCAAGCATGCTAACATTCACACCATAGGGATACCAGAAGGGAAGAGAGAACAAGGAACTGAAAACCTATTTTAAGAAATAATGACAGAATACTTCCCTAACCTGTAGGATGAAATAGACATACAAGCCCAGGAAGTGCAGAGAGTCCCAAACAAAATGAACCATGATCTCAAAGAGGTCCACACCAAGACACATCATAGTTAAAATGACAAAGCTTAAAACAAAGAGAGAATCTTAAAAGCAGCAGCAGAATATCAGCTAGTTACCAACAAGAGAGAGCCCATTGAATGTCAGCTGATTTCTCAACAGAACCTTTGCAGGCCAGAGAGATATTTTGTGCCTCTGGCACAAAATAAGAGGCACAAAATAGTCAAAGTGCTGAAAAGCAAGGATGTACAACCCAGATTACTCTACCCAGCAATGCTATTATTTAGAATTGAAGGACCGATAAAGTTTCCCAAACAAGAAAAAGCTAACAAGAGTTCATCACCACCGAGCTAGTACTGCAGAAATGTTAGAAACTTCTTTAAAAAAAAAAAAAAAAAAGATAAAAAATATGAATTGAAAATGACAATAACTATGCATCTACCAACTATTAACTTTAAATATAAGTGGATTAAATGCTTCAATCAGAATACATAGGATGGCTAAATGGAGAAGAAAACAAGACCCTTACCTATACTGCCTACAAGAGACTCAACTCAGATCAAAGACATACATAGCCAGAAAGTAAAGAGATGGAAAAAGATATTTCATGAAAATGAAAATAAAACAAAAGGAAAAGAAAGAGAAAAAGGCTGGGATAGCAATACTACACCAGACAAAACAGACTTTAAAACAAAGGCTATAAGAAGAAACGAAGAAGAACCCAGCAATTCCACTTCTGGGTATTTGTCCAAAGAAATCCAAAACATTTCTTCAAAGGGACATGTGCATCCATGTTAACTGTAGCATTATTTACAATAGCAAAGACATGGAGACAACCTGGGTGTCTATCAATAGAAGAATAGATAGAGAAGAGGTGGTACATATATATAATGGAATGTTACTCAGCCATAAGAATGAATGAAATCTTGCCATCTGTAACAAAATGGAAAGACCCAGAGGGTACTGTGCTGAGTGGAGCAAGCCAAACAGAGAAAGACAAATGTCTTATGATATGATTTACATGTGGAATCTAGAGAAAGGATAAACAAACAAAATAGAAACAGGCTTACTGAGAAAGCATTTTGATTGTGTGTAGGGGGGAGTGGGAATTGGGATACGCGAAGTGGGGGAGAGGATTAAGAGATACAAATTGGTAGTTACAAAATAGTCACAGGGATATACAGTATAGGGAATATAGTCGGTAGTATTGTAATAACTATGTATGGTGTCAGATGGCTATCAGTTTTATTGGGTGATCATTTGGTAAGTTATATACATGTCTAATCACTGTGTGTATATCAGAAACTAATACAGTTTTGTATGTCAACTGTAATTGAAAAATAAAGAAAATATTTTTTATTAAAAAATGAAAATAAATATCTTTAAGAGAATGCAAAGGCAAGTCAGACTGATACTTATAACAAACATAATTGAAAAAGACCACATATTTAACATATATACAGGCCTTCTACTATTGATTTAAAAATAGAAAGTGTCAGAGAAATTGAATATGCTCTTCACAAAAGTATAAGCTCAAGAGACCAATAAACATATAAAAAGATTCTCAAATTAACTAAGTACTAGGAAAAAGCAAATTAAAAACCATAATGAAATACCACCACACACTCAATTGGATAATAAAAATGAAAAAGACTGACAATATCAAGTATTAGTGACAGTACTGAGCAACTGGCACACTCATATGGCATGAAAACTCATAAAATCACTCCAGAAACCAATTTAACATTATCTATCAAAGCTGAACATATAAATATTCTATGACTCAGTTATGATCCAGCTATTAGACTCCTAGTATATACCAAAAAGAAATGTATGCACATGTGTACCAAAAGATAAGTCCATGAAGGTACACAGCAGCATTATTCTTTAATGGGCCCAAACTGTAAACACTCTACATGTCCCTCCACAGTAAATGGTAAAGTGTATCTGATTCATCCAATTGGACTACTATATAGCAATGAAAATTAATACAGGGAACAGCACAAATAAATTTTAAAAATAAACTGTGACTCAGACATAGAATACATACTACGCAACTTTATTTACAGAAAGTTCAAAAACTGATAAACCAATCTATGATATTAAAAGTCAGGATAGCAACTGCCTTTTGAGAAGAAGAGAGAATGGGGACTGGAAGGAGCATGAAAGTAGTTTCTGGGGTGCTGGTATTGTCCTATGTCTAGATTTGGGAGGCTGTTATGCAATAACTGCCAATGCATTGTTCTATGAGCTGTACACTATGTACCTTGGTGTGTATAATTCATAAAACTATTTTTGCAAGTTAAAATGACCACTTAATCATCTCAACTGATGCAGGAAAAGCATTTGACAAGATTCAATCTCCTTTCATAATAAAAACAGTCAATAAACTAGGAATAGAAGGGTCCTACCTCAACATAAAGCCCACAGCTAACATCATACTCAATGATGAAAAACCGAAAGCTTTTCTTCTAAAATTCAGAGCAATGCAAGGATGTCCCCGTCTCACCACATCCATTCATAATATTGGACATAGTATTGGAAGTCCCAGCCAGAGCAATTAGGCCCCAAAAAGAAATAAAAGACATCGAAATTGGAAATGAAGATGTAAAACTATCTTTGTTCACAGACGACGTAACCTTATATTTGGAAAGACCTAAATTAAAAAAAAAAAAAACTTAAAAAAATTCAGTAAAAAAACAAGATACAAAACCAGCATTTAACAATCAGTTGCATTTCTATACACTAACCGAATAATCTGAAAAGAAAATTAAAAAAACAATTCTATCTATAATTACAAAAAAAAGAGTACAATATTTAGGAATAAATCTAATCAAAGAGGTGAAAGATTTGTATGCTGAAAACTACAACGTATTGCTAAAAGAAAGAAGACATTCTAAAAAGATATCCTATGTTTACAGATTGGAAAACTTAATATTATGATGATGTCCGTACTACTCTAAGCAATCTACAAAGTCAATGCAATCTCTGTCAAAAATCTAAATGGCATTTCTTGCAGAAATAAAAAAATTCATTCTAAAATTCATCTGGAATCTCAAGGGATCCTGAACAGCCCAAACCATTTTGAAAAAGAACGAAGTTGGGTGACTCAAACTTCCTGATTTCAAAACATATTACAAAGCTACAGTAATCAACACAGTGAGTGGTACTGGAATAAAGACAAATACGCCAACAGAAGAGAATAGAGAGGCCAGAAATGAACTCTCACGTATATGGTCAAATGACCTTCAACAAGAGTTCCAAAACCACTCAATGGGAAAAGGACAGTCTCTTCAACAAATGCGTGATATTCACCCGCAAAAGAAAGTAGTCTGACCCTTATCTTACAACATATATAAAAATTAAAATAGATTAAAGATCTAATTGTATGACCCAAAACTATAAAACTCCAAGAAAACAAGGAGAAAGCTTGCTAATAATTTCTTAGATATGACACTGAAAGCAAAAGCCACAAAAGCAAAAACAGACAACTGGGATTACATCAAACTTGAAAACTTTTATGCATCAGAGGACACATTCAACAGAGTGAAAAGGTAACCTACGGAACAGGAGAAAAATAGTTGCAAGACTTTGCTCCTGC